CCGTATACAGTTTTTCACTATCAACCCTTTCAACCTTCTGATTCATCTCAATTTACCCCAAATCATCAAGACGTGGGAAATAAAATGTGTGACTTTTCTTTTAATCGCCGAAGTGATAAAATGATGTGATTTTTCCTCTATTTGAACGGAGGGCGTAAATAAGGGAATAAAGCAAAAAAAAAATCAATAAAAGATGAATGAGAATTCAGTCTTTTAAAAGATAAATGAGAATCCTATCTTCGTGTGGCGTCATGTCATCGCGCTTAATATATATATATATATATATAAGCCAACAAGAAAAGGATTAACTCTGCAATGCTTAATTGTACAACAAGTTGTGTGAGTTGTACTATTTATATAGGCTACAAATAGTTGTAGCTGCTTGTATAAAAGGCATTAATAATTATATTCTATATTTTATTACCCCTTCTTTAGAAGTGACAGTTGATGAGGATGAACATTGCATCAAAATATGGTACAAGAAGCAATGTAAATTGTACTTCGAAAAGGACTTGGGCTAAAATAATAAGGTTAAAATAGTAAGTTCACTTTAGTTACTTATTATATTTTCCAAAAGTGTATAGCATATACTCTGGTGTATCACTACTTTTTATGTAAAAAAAGTGGAATATCCATTTTATTATTCATTCTCACCGCTGCTTTTACTCTTTCTTCTCTGCATCACAACTTCCATGGAAGATTGACAATCATTTTTTATCTTCAACGGAGCTAATTAACTTTACTTCAAATTCTCACTCGACTTCTCAAGTTCTTTGAGTTGTTTACTTGGTAAGTATTTTTGTATGATATTGGCCATTTACTTAACAAATGTTTACTCTTTTTTGTCCATTATTTATCGTGTTTATGCTTCCTATTATTCTGCTAATTCTTCTTATTTTAGGCCTTCCACAATTTTTCTTGGATTCTTTTGAGTTTTGATAGATGCCTCTTTGTATGTTGAAATTTGATGTTAAGGTTATGGGTACATGCATGCTTTCTTAATTGATTTTGTGCATGCATATTTTTTTTCCAATATTTTGCAGTTTTATTAGTATTTTCTTATCAATATGATACTTTTTGCAGATAATTAATGGCTTGATGCGGTCATATATATGTTTGAGAAAATTTCTCCACGAAGGTAAGACTTGTGTGCTATGAAGAGAGATTAATTCCAAGAGTTTATTGTTTTGACAAATGATTCAAAGCTAATGAAGTTGAACGGTGGGCTTAGGTGAGTAGACATTTTTTCCGTAATATCTTTTTTTCATATAGTATTTCCCCCCAAAAAATGATTAATATTTATATGTTAAAGCCTCTGCTTTGAGGTGATTTAATTTTCCTGTGATATCACAACTTTCAGGTGATTGTTGAGAAATAATTTGAGTTACCGAATCATTTGCTGCTGCCATGAAATTAGCAGTGATATCGAAGGCTGGAAATTCAGGATAATCTTTCACTATTAATTTTTTTGTTGTTGGAACTACATTTAATTTTCGGAAAAAATCAGCTACTAATGTAGTAGGTTGAAGGGGTATTCAAAGAAAAATTGTTTAAGTTACATAGTCAGAAGGACCAACAGGTTGAATCAGGCGAAATAGTTGATTTCAGGTTCTCCAATTTTCAAGTTTTGCTACTCTATATGCATGTGATCTTATACTTTCTCGAAGCTTTTGTTTCATGTGTTCATATTAGTTAGATACAACTGATAGTGTTAGAAATATTTTTCATTTGATCAATTCAGAAAAAATTGAACATAAGAAATCTAAAATAAGAGTGGTAATTTTGAGTATGTAATATAATAATATTGTGTTAAAGTGCTGTCATATGCTTCTTATAGAGTAATATACTCTTCATGTTTTCTCTTCTATTTGTAGCATAATATTTTTTCATTAGAAATTTGTGTCATGATCATTGGTTAATCTTGGATTAAGTTGTTACACTTTCTAAAACAAATAAATCAATTGTTGAAAAATATACCTTTAAGATTTTCTACCACTAATTGATATTATTAACTCTTTGTGTTTTGCTTACTGTCTTTGCAGGTTTGACAAATTAAATAATTTTAAAAATGGAGGTTTTTTAGTCCAAGTATGAGCTCTAAAATGTTTGTGACTATCTTCCACAACACTTTTAGCTAATTTAATCTCCATTCGTTTTCTGAATATTTTTACTCTTTCCATGTCCCTCAATAGAAGTAAAACAAACATTTATTTTGTATTTCATGAGAGACAATTTGTATATGAGATATAGATAAGACGAAGAGAAGCTGACATTTTTAATATGTGCTCTTTCTACGACGTCCAGATTAAGAAGAATAAGGATAGGCAGAGCATGAGCTCTTGAAGAGTAAGTTGTTCTATTATATGTTAATGCAATAAAATGATTTTCTTAGTGGTTTATACAACACCAAGGTAATATTATGTTATTGAAACTCAAGGTCTGATTTGATTGTAAACTGTGGGCAACCCAAAGTAAGGGATGAATTTTTTATTTTAGAACTACATATATTTTTTCTATGCCTTGAATTACATTTAGCCATCATGCTTGAGGGCTCAAAAACTTCATTTGTTATCTCAGGTACAGATAATTGCTCATGGTATGCCTTTTCAGCTGAGATCACAGGGGCATATGATACCAGGTTTTTAGTAATGTCTACATTGATGGCTCCATCAAATCATAAGGAAGTGGTCAATGATGATATGATTTGCAGTTTTGGTCTTTTTATGCAAATGTTTAGAGTACATTTACCTGAATTTTCATTTTTGCAAAATAGGAGGATTGACAATAAACTAAATTAAATTCTACTTAAACATTATTTTTTGCACATATGGTAACAATATAATACCAATGTTATACAAACAATTCTTAATTATAATTTATTTATTTCAATGACACGTTGGGCACGTGCGATGCACGAGCATCATCCTTCTAGTATATATATAGAGAGAGATAATTGTAATTAAATATTTCAATACGATATTTGGTAATTTATTTTTATAAATATAAATATTAAATACTATATAGAATATTAAATATTTGGAAAATGCATACTAAATATATTAAGAATACCCACATCGGAAAATGGGTGGAAATTTGGTCTTCTTATATGAACTTTGGACAATCCTCCTTTCATAAGATAGCTTTTGAGGTTGAGTTAGACCCAAGATCCATCTTTACATGGTATTAGAGTTAGACTCATCCCAATTCTTTATTCACCGATGTTGGCCCCCCATATTATCATGTCTACGCTCCAGTTAACGAGGTATGGAAGTGGGGCGAGTGTTAAGAATCCCCACATCGAAAAAGGGGTGGGAATTTGGTCTTCTTATACGGTCTTAGACAATCTCCCCTCAATAAGCTAGTTTTTTAGATTGAATTAGCTAGGCCCAAAATCCAACTTTACAAAATACCGTATCAAAATCATAATATAAAATTATTATATCAAAATTTTCAATATAAATTTTAATCCAATAACATGATAATTATCAAAAAAATATGCACATCCCTAATCACAGCTAGACAAAAATGTATTCATAGATAGTTGAAAAATTGAGAAGCAGTGACCTTAAACAACTCCAAAGAGTCAAGAGTGATTGATACGAATCTCAAAAATCCAACTTCCAAAAATTTCAACTGGGAAATTGATTAATTATTAATTATATGATTTTAATTATCATTATTATTGATTCTAACTGTCTGGGTGTATGTTCCCCCTTTTTGCTCCTCCTATTTTCTTACACGGCGTGACTTGCTTATAGGCCTATATTGTTATAATATTAAATTATATTAATTTGACTTCATTATTCAAAAAAATAAATCATAAATATTTTAGAGCACGACATAGAATGATAATGATAGCAACATTTTATAACAATTATCATTTCTGTTTCTATATTTCTTTAAAACTAAATAATAACTTATAATTTTTTAAAACTTCTATAATTAAAATTTAAAAATTATATGTGTTGATGCTTATTTTAATATTAATATAATATTATATCAAGCGCATACATCACATCAAATAACTGATATCAATGCTTTTGATTGGTGTTGGGTAGGATAATAGTTCCTCATTGTTTTTATAATTTAATTTTCAGTGCCTCTCCCCAACATCATGTCTGACATAGGCGGTGTTAAAAGCATTAATCTCTCCCTTATTTGTATTTTTTCTAATATTAACCTTTGATCTGATACAACATTGTCATCAACTTAGACTTTCATTAAACACATCATGAGACACTGATAACTCGCTCATAATTTTTTTACGATCTTTCAATTTCAAATAAATTATTTTAGCTTTAAATTTCTAACGAATGTTAAATAAAAGAAAAGCACAAGAAAATTGTCAAAATAACTTTTATATTGCTCAATACTTATATGTCATATTTATAAGTTAGTCCTATATTTAGAATTATCTACCGTGCTAGAGAAAATTTTAAGGACCTTTCATAAAATTTAAGAAATTGTAAAATTACATATTTCATCTAAGGACTAGTCTACTTCGTATGTACAAAGACAACTTTATGCTATGTGCCACCTAAGTGACGTAATGACATTGCAGATTATCACATACAATATATAAATAAACAATGTATTTATATAATTTTTAGAAATGATAGTTTTACCCGATATCGTCCTCCTCACGCTTCTACATAAATAGAAATTAACATCCTCCAAACATGATATTTTTTTTTATATATTTTAACAATATTTAACTTATTTTTAAATATATAAATTTTATTTTAGAAAATTAAAAATTTCAATATCCAACTTCACAATTAAAATTAAAAAATAAACTCCCCACCTCACCCCAATGTGAATAGAGACAAAGAAAATGATATAATTATATTTATCTATCTTGGACAAATGTTCAAAGAATCATATCTTATGAGCAATTAAAGGTGTGACGTAGTGGTTCTTATTTTTGTTATATAATTGTTTGTACATTTCCTTTTTTTTTTTTTGCCTATTTTTAAAGATAACTAAACAGTTGTACAAGTATAAATAGTTAAGGATGCTTTGGTAAAGGATAGAAATAAGAGAATAGAAGATGGGGTTCACAGATAAACAAGAAGCTTTGGTGAAGGATTCATGGGAATTCATGAAGCAAGACGACATTCCTCAACTTAGTCTTCGTTTCTTCTCATTGTAAGTAACGTAACTAATGCTATTTGCTTTAACTTTTTGTTTAACATAAAGACGTACAGTGATAAATTCAAAATTTAGAGTTATTCGATTCTGAGGATCTATATAGTAAATTTTGTGGAATTAGTAGCGTCTAGTCTAGATCTGCCTGTGTATATGTAGAGAGTCATGTCATGTGTACATGTACATCGATCTTTTCTCCCCTAGCTAATTGGGATTCAAATATTAATTGGTAGGATCCTGGAGATAGCACCAGCAGCAAAGAACATGTTCTCATTCTTGAAGGACTCTGATGAACTTCCTCAGAACAATCCCAAGCTTAAAGCTCATGCTGTTAAGGTTTTCAAGATGGTTAGTTATGTATTTCCCTTCATTGTTATGGATTTATTCTTAGTAGAAACTTCCTAAGTTGTACGGACTCTTCACTTTTCATGATGCATTCGTGTCGGATTCTCCAAGAATATATTCCTTCAGTTCAATAATATTTGTTCATTATTGACTTAACTCATTCCTTAAAAAGTACTCCCTCCGTTTAAAAAAAAAATGACCTAGTTTGACTTGGCACGGAGTTTAAGAAAATAAAGAAGACTTGAATCTTGTAGTCTTAAATTAAAGTTATGTCAAATGTACAAAATTGTCCTTTAATCTTGTGGCCTTAAACATGTCACGTGGAAAACTGAAATTAAAATGTTACCAAAAAAAGAAAGCTCATTCTTTTTGAAACTGACTAAAAATGAAAGGAGGTCATTCTTTTTTAAACGGAGGGAGTAATAAATAATAGGAGTACTATTACTACATTACCTTTTGAATACATTAAATTTAATGTTTAGGAAATATATTAGATGTGAATAGTATTTAATAGTAAAGGTAAAACAAACCCAAAAAGATAAATTTATTTCTTGATTTTCCAAATTAGACAAGTATTGTTGAACAAATATTTTTAGGATAATGGATAAGTAAAATTGAACAGAGAAAATACTACTTTTAGCTAACCCGACACACCCCATTGATATTTTTAAAAAACCCAAACAACATACCATAAGATGTATACAATCTCATCACCACTCTCCGTACCTCATATTTCCCAACTACAAATTAAACGATAAGGAACGTGGCATGCACATGATCTCTACTTGTCTTCTTATACGGATGACTTGATTATTTGGAATTTTCTTAAAAGTTTAACTTATTATTCATTTTATATGACGCTCCTTACATAATTATTAATAGTAGTATGGTTCTAAATAGGGGTGTTCACCGTTTGAGTAATGAACGATTTGAATAAAAAATCGAATTGTAATTCTTATGTTATGGGCTAAAAAGTAGTGAAAAAAATAATCTTAGATTTCTTGTTTTGTGGAAAGACATGTGAATCGGCAATTCAGCTTCGGGAAAAGGGAGAAGTGGTGGTAGGTGAAACTACTCTCAAGTACTTGGGATCCATCCATCTTCAGAAAGGAGTTGCTGATCCTCATTTTGAGGTACGTAATTTATTTTGTTTACATATACACTACACCCTTCCCTTCGTCAACACGCATATTAAGAAATGATAAATAAAAGAGTTAATTCGTAGGTAGTAAAAGAAGCACTGTTGAGAACAGTGGAAGAAGCAATGGGAAAGAAATGGAACGATGAGATGAAAGAAGCATGGGCTGAAGCATATGACCAATTAGCTGCTGCCATCAAAGCCGAGATGCACGCTGAGGCTGCTGCCTAGTCCTACTAATTGCCTTTTATTATTTAAAAATGTGTGTCGTGCTGCCTATGCCTATATTGGCTTACTTAGCTACTCTCTTAATTTTCAATTCCCTAAATCAATTGAAAGTGTGTCTTTGATGAAAATGAAACATATAATTTATAATAAAAATAAAAGTATATATATAAAAAAAATCATGTGTTTGACTCGTGAAAAGGAAGGAAAGCAATCAAGTTTCACGGTCATTCATTATATTATCAATAAAAGTGCATAAAAAAAAATCATATGTTTGGCTCATAAAAGGAAAGGAAAGCAATCAAATCTCACGGTCACTCATTACATTATTAACGAAAATGCATAATGAAAAGGAATCAAATTTGTACGTGAAAATATATGTTTATCAATAACCTAATCTATTCATGTCGAACATTGACAAATGATTTTCCATATGTAATATATTTCTGACCATATCAAATACTCCATTTGTTCTTATTTACTTGTTTATTCTGATTTGACACACCTATTAAGAAAATAATAGTTGACATAGTGAATTTATCATTTTACTCCTATTAATTGATAGAATTCCAAAATCAATTTACTCATTAAAAAGGTTCTATATTTTGGAGCATAGTTGAAGAGGAAAAATTAAAAATCTCATACATCACACTAGTAAAAGTAGGAGGGAAGGGGGAAGAAAATTATGAAGAGCAATTTTGGAGGGTGGCCAAAACGCTCCACGACAATGAGTATGTCTCCATCTGCCGGATAAAAGGACCACAGTTATGGAAATTTGACCACAAAAATTCAAATTCTAAGAAAAGGGGTTCTCCAACATCACAAGTTTAAATGTTTAATATACATTTAAATTTTACTTTTATACTTCTAACTTTTTACCTTCACTTTTTTGTTTGGACATGTAAGTTAAGAGAATGGAGAATATAAAATTAGGTTTTGTGGGGTAGTGAGTATTTTTTTACATACTTAATTAGAGGTGTTGGTGAAATTATAATTATAATTAAAAATAAAATGAAGAAAATAAATTATTTTTAAGTTGAAGCGTGAATTTCTTGCTCTCTTTGAGAAGATTCAAGCTCATTGCAACAATTTTTTTCATCGATCCAGTAGTAATCTTCTTGACTTGTCCCCTTCATAGTACAATAGTTCAATCACAATGTACAACTCAACAAACTCTGTACACGAGTTGAGTCTAAAACTCCACCAAAAAAACACATTTTCTTTAACTAGATAAAACTTTATTCTCTAGTAACTTTATTGCACTCTATATTTTTATTGCATCAGTATTATAAATGCGAAATTTTTCCTGTATTGAATAGGAAAAAGGTGAGGTAATAATGTGAATAAAATGAATGAAAGAATTACGACCTAGAAATTATATGAATTATGAGGTATAAAAATATTAAATAATAAATAAATAATGAGCAAGAAGTTATATAGGGAATTACCAATAGAAATTGTCAATTAGTTACTCCAAATAATCTTTAACTTAAAGGGATGAGCTGAAATGCAAACACATGAGTCATGAGACTCTTCATATTACATAATACTAATGCTAAAATGCCATATAAATATAACAATTTCTCACTCAATTTAATCCTAATAATATATATGAATCGTATATGTAGTTATATATATAATAATCCCAAACAACATTCGATATTTTCATATTTTATATATATATATATATATATATATCAAATTTTATTTAATTTTTGAATTTCTGTTATTAATTATATCCCTTTTATGAATCTTCCACCGAATTGTTTCAGAATTTATTACTCCAGTAGTAGTTATGCATACATATTGCTAGATTAGGTAGCAGGACGAAACCCCATGTTACAACATCACCAATCTTGTTGTTTACCTACGTCACCTATTTAATAATAATAATAAAAAATCGACAACAATAACATAATCAGTGTAATCCTACGTTGGGATGTGTGTACACAAAGTTACCACTATACTGTGAAGGTAGAGAGGTTGTTCCCGATAGACCATAGTGAAGAAGATTACCACTATACTTTGGCCTAGTGTAAGAGTGCAAGTGTGATGTATGAATTAGGCACACGTCACGAGTTCATATCCTTAACGGTGATAAAAGCTTGATATTTAAATGGAGAAGAATAAAGGTGCATGTGAGCTGGTCTATTATCTATCGAGATTCAAAGTGTGCACAACCTAGCCCTCAGGATTTCTCAAAGAACAATTATATTGAAACATAATTGGAATAACAATGCAATGAACTCATTAGTCATCAAGTTGCTGTTAGTTCAATCTATCAATGCTGATTGTAGGGAAGCAATGGTACAAACTAAATCTGAAGGATAATATTTGTCTTGAGACAAGGTTAATCTTGTCATTCTAGTAATATTAAATAAGAGAGACTATTTGTTAAAAGAAGATTACTATATACGTGATGACGGTGTGCTTATTTACATTAAACCTTTTCTTAGTAATATATATATTATTTTGAGCGAAGAAGAATATGAATGGTGTTATTGTCACACCCCAAGCCTACATTCTAGGCGTAGCGGCACTCGAGAACATCATAGGTCCCCACTCCCTAGGCGAACCCTTTAGTTTTGACGGTGAATTAGGACATGTGATTAGAACATATAGGAATTCTCAAAGGTAAATGGAACCTATAGGAGCTAATACAAATAATATATAGCCACGACTTAAAGGAAACACGTCCGAATGAAACACAGAAGGAGTAGGCCAGGCGACCCCTGGCGCACTGTTGGCATGGGGCGTGTCATGCCCCAAACTCAAGGGGTGCAACTGGCTCCTAATGCCAAAACTCAGGCCTGAGCCGACCTTGCTGAACCATTTGCTACTAGCGCATAACAACCACACGCAATCAAGAAAACAAACAAGTATATCTCGACTTAAAATTAAGCCCTCGACCATCAAGGCCCCTATCAACATATATATAAAAGAAACAACTACTCCTAAGAATTCATATAAAGAAATAGACAACTAGCACAGAAGTCCTGATTGGGCCGTCAAGGTTACCATGATCTCTATACCGAAACTTAAAGCAGGTATATATCAAGACAATACATCAAACAGCTAACAAGCTTCAACAAACCAACAAACTAGGCCAGCATGGCCATAACGTAGCTATACACTTCACACACTAGTCTGCAAGCCTATAAGAGTAGTAAAGATTGGTGGGACAGGCCCCCAACCTACCCATAAAAATATATACAACAAAAGCTAACAAACCTTCCAACTCTAGCAGCTCCGGAGGAAAGGGGCTAGCCAACTGGATAGAAGTCAATCCTGCTGCTGAGGAGGTCTACTAGGTCGTTTGCTGGGACCTGCAGGCATGAATGCAGTACGCCCAGACAATGGGGCATCAGTACAATAATGTACTGAGTATGAAAGACAATATATTATGAGCAGGTATCTTAATATACTGGGAGTAATCCAATAAATAAATCAAGGATAAAATAAGTGTACTGACCTGCTCCTAAATCTAAACATATAAAAAATAATAAAACAACAACCTAACCAAGCCCCCATAAGCTCGGCAGGTGGAAACAACACATAATACCACCTACCTAGGCCCCCATAAGCCCAAGAGGTGCCAATCAGTGTATATACCCCTATCAGTAGTCGCCTAGCCTCGTAAGCAGTCACATATCCCTCTTAGGCAAGAATATAGCCCCATAGGCAACACATAGCTCTCTTAGGCATCAATATAGCTTATAGACAACTCATAGCCCTCTTAGGCAACAACATGTCCCTGTAGGCAGCACATGGCCTTCTTAGGCGTCAATATAGCCCCGTAGGAAACTCATAGCCCTTCTAGGAATCAATATATCCCCGTAGGCAACTGATAGCCTTTCTAGGCATCAATATAGCCCTGTATGCAGAACATAACCCTTCTAGGCATAGATCACATTCCTGCAGCTAACCACAATAGCCCCAAGGGCAACAATAACCATCCAATAGGCTAAAAGCGAGCAATTTAGCTATAAGCAACCTATACAAATAGCCTCTAAGTCGTGCCCAACAAAGGGATGCTACTAACTGAATAGGAATCCCGACAAGGGATGATTATATCCTCTTGAGCAGCCAACAATCAACAATAATGGCTACAAGTATAACAATGATAATAACCCAATTACATTGCTCCTAGGCTTTAAGGAAATATGTTGTAAGAAGGGAATAACTTTAACATACATTTTTTGCTCAATTCACGTGGCCTAACGACTTTTACTCACAACCCCCTTCATACTACAACAAGGTAGGACCATAATAAACACACAAGAATAGAAGATACCACGATAATCCGATAAAAGATATGTATTTCCGTCGTAAATTGCTATTTTTGGCATATCAAAGCTAGAGTCGATGAAATAAGGGTCTTACTTTGATCTTAAGTTCATAATACACCTCAAAACCTTAAAATATGTCCAAACCCTTGTTGTCCCAACACCAAAGTATGATATACTACAAAATCGATAAAACAAATTATACCATGATGACGTTCTCAATGCGTAGAACAACTTTCGTTAAGGACTTGAGTTGAGAAAATCAATAATTTGGTTGATCCTAGAAGTGGGTTTTCTAAGTTTTCAAGTTCTTAACTAAAATAAATGAAGAAAAAGATGAAGAAGAAGATATATAAAGAGTTCCACCAACCTAAGGCCCCACCTCACGTGCCTGCTCGTGCAGTCTTGCAAAAATGTGAATATCACTCTATTTTGAAGTTGTATGGACGAACAGTTTGATGCGTTGGAAACTAGACTCGTAGACCTTCGATTTGGTAGATCGTGGGAACCACAACTCCATATTGATTGGGAGAAAACCTCCAAGACATTTAACCCAAATTTCAGAGAAATCTTTAAAATGGAACTTATGATAACTTTCGCCAACCTTTATTTTTCGACTTACCTAATTTCAAAACTTGAGATACAACCCTTGAACACTTAAAATATGACATACCACATCATTAATAATTTATTACTAACCCTCTTTGTCTTTTCACGAAGGTACGAGTTAATTTAGATGTTTCGAAAAGTCGGGGTGTTACATCCTTCCCTCCTTAGAAACATTCGTCCTCGAATGAAAAATCTTAGTCGCGCGGTTAAGTCCTTAGGAGTTGCCAAAATTTATGCAGAGTATCCTTTGTAAATGTGACTATCCAGGAACCTGAAATGCAGAAATTCTAACTTAGGCGTGTCACATGACGACATAAATAGCTAAGCAATATAGCTCTACAATAATAGTGCGAGCAAAAATACAACGACAACAACCATAATAATAAGCAACAATATAAGAAAATCAGATAGGTATCTTACCTTACTGCACTAATATTAACTATGCCATCACCATGCGGTTTGAAAAAAGTGAGGATATTTGGACCTCATGCCATCCTCAGTTTCCCATGTCACCTCTTCTATATTCTTATTTCTCCACAATACTTTAACCGAAGCCACCTCTTTGGTCCTCAACTTATGGACCTGTCGATCTAATATGGCAACTGGAGTTTCCTCGTAGGATAACTCCTCTGTCTCATACGCACTTCTGTAGCATCGATACATTGAAATCTGGATGAATAGATTCTATCCCCGAAGGCAATTCTAACTCATAAGCCACTCGTCCTACCCTCCGAAAGATTCGGTATGGTTCAATGAATCTTGGACTAAGCTTTCCTTTCTTGCCAAATCTCATAACACCCTTTATAGGCGAGACTTTTAAGAATATCCAGTCATCAACACAAAACTTTAAGTCCATTCGCGCACATCTGAGTATGAATTTTGTCGACTTTGAGATGTTAGCAACCTCTCCCAAATGAGCTTAACCTGCTCCATTATCTGTTGTACTAAGTCGGGTTCAATCAACCCTGACTCACCTACCTCGAACTATCCAATGGGGGATCTACATTTTCGCTCATACAAAGCCTCATAAGGTGCCTTCCCGATGCTGGAATGATAACTATTATTGTATGCAAACTCAATAAGAGGCAAGTGGTCATCCCAACTTCCCTTGAAGTCTAGCGCGCACCCCCGTAACATATCCTCGAGTGTTAAAATTGTGCGCACAACCTGGTCATCTGTTTGAGAGTGAAAGGCTTTACTAAGATTAACATGCGTCCTAGTCCTTTCTGGAAGGATTTGTAGAAGTTAACGGTAAATTTTGCTCCTTTACCAAAGATAATAAATACTAGGACACAGTGTAGCCTAACAATCTCTCTAATATAGAGCCATGCATAGTCTTCGGCTGTAAATGTAGCCCGTACTGGTAAGAAGTGGGCTGATTTTAGTAGTATGTCAACAATTACCCAAATAGAGTCAAACTTACGACGCGATCGAGGTAACACTGTAATAAAATCCACATTAATTGCTTCCCACTTCCACAAAGGAATGTCTATCTCCTAGACTAGCCCAACGGGATTTTGGTGCTCAATCTTCACCTATTGGGAGTTAGGACACTGTGCCACAAACTCATCAACGTCCTTATTCATCCCGTGCCACCAATAGATCTCCTTAATATCATGGTTTGACTAAATAGAATAACGGGAACGCTGTGCCTCTTCCATAATCTGATGTCGAAGCCCTGCAACATCCGGAACACACAATCGACCACTATATCTGAGGACTCCATCCCCTGCTATATCAAATGCTAAAGACTGTTGATCCTGAGCCTTGGCTCTAAGCTTATCTTAGCTAGGATCCTTCTGTTGCCGTGCTTTTACCTCTACAACTAGAGATGATACGGTTGTGTCCTGAATTGTGACCCCACTATCGTCTGCCTCTAACAATCTAACTCCCAAGCTAGTTAACTGATGAAGCTCTCGTGCTATCTCACGCTTCTCAACACCTAAATAGGATAAACTACACATAGATTTTCGACTGAGGGCATCGTCTACCATATTCTCCTTTCTTGGATAATATAAAATATCCACGTCATAGTCTTTCAGTAACTCAAGCCATCGACGCTGTTGCAGATTTAACTCCTTCTGTCTAAAGATATATTGGAGGTTTTTATGATCTGTGAAGATGTCAACATGAACGCCAAACAAATAGTATCTCCAGATCTTTAACGCATGCACAACTGCAGCCAACTCTAAATCGTGGGTTGAATATTTCTTCTCATGCTTCCTCAACTGTCTTGAAGCATATGCGATAACCTTACCAGTTACCATGTTGCATTAAAACACATCCCAACCCAACACCAAAAGCATCAAAGTACACCACATAGCCCTCTGAACCCTCTGGCAATGCTAGAACTGGTGTTGATGTCAACTTGTTCTTCTGTTCCTGGAAACTATTCTCGCAAGCCTCAGTCCACTGGAACTTAGCTTCTTTTTTAGTCAGCTTCGTCAATGGTGCTGAAAGTAAAGAAAACCCCTCTACAAACCTTTTGTAGTACCCAGATAACCCTAAGAAACTACGAACTCCAGTCGGAGTCATGGGTTTGGGCCAAATCTTTACAGCCTCAATCTTTTGTGTATCGCCCGTAATACCTGCATCTGATACAATCTGACCTAAGAAAGATACAGAGTCCAACCAAAACTTACACTTAGAAAACTTTGCATAAAGTTCTCGATCTCGAAGAAACTGAAGGACTGCTCGCAGTTGATCTGCATGCTCATTTTTTGAACGTGAATAAACCAAAATATCATCAATAAATACAATCACAAATAAGTCTAGATATAACTTGAATATACTATTCATCAGGTCCATGAACACTGTTGGGGCATTAGTTAATCCGACATTACCAAGAACTCAAAGTGTCCATATCTGGTTCTAAAAGCTGTCATTGGAACGTCTTTCTCCCGAACTCGTACCTGGTGATACCCTGATCTTAAATCATCTTTGAGAAGCACACAACACCTTGTAACTGATCAAACAAGTCATCGATCCTCAGAAGGGGATACTTATTCTTTATAGTCTCCTTATTCAGTTGTTGGTGATCGATACACATTCTCAGTGAGCCATCTTTCTTCCTCACGAATAACACTGGAGCACCCCATGGTAAAATAGTAGACTTGATAAAGCCTTTATCTAGCAAGCGTTTTAGCTGATCCTTCAACTCCTTTAGCTCAGCAGGAGCCATTCTATAAGGAGGGATAAATATGAGTTGTGTACCTGGTAGCATATCGATAGCAAAATTAATTTCCCGTTCTGGAGGGATACCAGGAAGCTTATCGGGAAATACATCTAGAAACTCATTAATTACCAAATAGACTGAAGAGTCGGTGGTTCTGCATCTATATCATGAAAGCGAACAAGATGATAAATGCAACCCTTGGTAATCATCCTCCTCTCCTTAAGATAGGAAATAAACCTACCTTTCGGTGTTACTGTATCGCCTTTTCATTCCCGAACTGCCTCTCTTGGAAAGTGGAATCTAACAATCTTTTTTCGGTACTCAACATTAGCATAACAAGACCCTAACCAGTCCATACTCATAATGATGTCAAAATCCACCATCTCTAACTCTACCAGGTCTACAGAGGTTTGACGTTTAATACTTTCTATTGTGCAACCTCGATAGACTCTCCTTGAATTAATAGGCTCACCAACTGGTGTAGATACAATAAAGGGTCGATCTAATGACTCTACTACTATACATAACTTCCCCACACTAAATAGAGTAACATAAGACAGAGTAGATTCGAGATCTTTCAAAGCATAAACACAATAGGAGCAAACAATCAATGCCCTTGTCACAACATCTGGTGATAACTCTGAGTCCTGGCGGGCGGGTAGTAAATATGTACGATTCTGGCTACTACTAGAACTAGATTCTCCCTCTCTGCCTCCGTTTCTGCCTCCACCTGCTGAAGTCTGGGGTCTACTCCCTGTAGACTGTGTTAATAAGGAGGAACCTACTACTGACCAAGTCGACTGACCTATACCACCTTGACCTATGGTCGGGCAGTTCTTCTACCCATGCTCTTCCTGTCCACAAGAATAACAACCTGTGGAACCCAACCTACACCTCTCGAAATGCATCCTACCACAAGTAGCGCAACGCGACGGGGCTGTCCTAGCGTGAACTGAACCCCTCTGCTGCTGAGAGCCTGATGCTCGTGAACCCTCACCTGGGCCTGACTGTCCCCGACAATTAGATCTACTACCCTGGAACTGTTGTGGTAAAGGTCTAGATGGCTTACTAGAATATTAGGGTCTGGGACCACCCTGAAAATCTCCCTGTGAACTAGCAGGCCTTGACCTCTTCTGTCTCTCTCTCGACCCTCTCACTCATATACTGTAGATGTTAGGGGTCGGTCGGTTTGGTTCGTTTTATGTATTATCAGTTTGGTTTATCGATTTTTTGATTTTTAAATATGTTAAACCAATAACCAAACCAATAAGATATTTTTATTGGTTTTCGGTTGATCGATTTATTGGTTTTGGTCCTTAACGATTCGATTTTTGATTTATCCAATAAGAAAATACTTCTAAAATAAATATATGACCTTTCTAATAATTTGATGCGAAAACACAATGATGTAACTTTACAAATGCTCATAAAATAGAAACAATAAAAACAAATATGAAAAGAACTATACAAGTATAACACAAAGAGAAATTAAGAGGAATGGGATTCTTACTTTAGATTTTAACGTTTTTTATAATGTAAAATTGTGAATTCAAAGTCATTGTGAAGTGTGAATTGAAGGCTGAAGGACAAAGATAGTAACTACTAAGATATTGAGATTAATGTATAATATTTATGTACAAGTAAAAGTAGTAAATTACAAGTCTTAATGGGTTATCGGTTTATCCAAAACCCAACATTAAAAACTAATACCGAACTGATAACGCAATAATTTTTTCTTATAAGACCATTAAAAATCGTTAAACCAATAACCCAATAACACTTTTATTGGTTCGGTTTATCGGTCAGTTCAATTTTTGCACACCCCTAGTAGATGTCCTCTATGCCATGTGCAAAGGCCTAAATCTCTGAGATATCCATATTATCATTTAGTGCAGTGGTAGAACAAACGTTGATATAGTCTGAGTCAAGCCCTCCCACAATTCTACGCACCAAGTCATGCATCGTATCTACAAATACATGTGCACATCTAGTCAATGAATTAAATCTCAGCCCGTACTCTCGGACACTCAATCTGCCTTGTTGGAGGTTCAAAAACTGGTCCACCCGGGCATCCCTAATCTCTCGAGGCAAGTGATCTATGAAAGCTTTTGTAAAGCTATCCCAAGTGGGTAGAGATGCATCTTTTCCCCTAGATCTCCCCCAACTTTCGTACCACAATACTGCAACATCACGCAATCAAAATGTTGCTAACTCAGTTGACTCAGTCGCTGAGGCATGCATGACTATGAAGATCCTATGAAGCTGATCAACAAAGTGCTGAGGGTCCTCTTTGTGATCTGTCCCTGTAAACTGTGGAGGATTTAAGGAAATAAATTCACGAACTCTCAAACTATCGGGTCCCTTCAAAAGGTCCGGTAGCATCTGGCTTAACTGGCTTGCGATGTGCAACTACTAATTGTACTAACATACATACTGCACTCTTAAAATCTTGATAAGATGGAAAAGAAAGAACTAAATGTGGTACTACTGGTGGAGCCAGGGGTCCTGTAGCCCTCAGAGGCTTCTAAAGCGGTGGAGAAGCTTTAGGGGGCTGAGAAGATGTCTCCCTCTGGGTCGCACAATGGGCAACCTCCACCTGTGGTACCCTACTGGTACCTTCGCCAGCATCTGTATCTAGCCTGTGGTCTGTCTGGTGTCAGCCATCTCTATGTGCATACAAAATCAATTATAAGCAAGAAGCCTCAACTCTTAAGACACCATTCTATATCACGAGGTGAGCAAAAGAAGGATAGTCATTCTAACATGCCCGATATATTCTTACTTTTCGAATGTGGTGTAAAACACATTTATAACCAAGGCTCTACTAGACACGACTTGCAGACTCCCTAGGATACGACGTTGCTCTAATACCAAGTTTGTCACACCCCAAAATCAAGGGAAGAAACTGGCTCCTAATGCCAAAACTCAGGCCCGAGCCGACCCTTCTGAACCATTTGCTACTAGCGCATGGCAGCCACACGCAATCAAGAAAGCAAACAGGTATATCTCGGCTTAAAATTAATCCCTCGACCGGCAAAGCCCCTGTCAACAGATCTATAAAAGAAACAGCTACTCCCAAGAGTTCATATAAAGAAATAGCCAACTAGCACAAAATTCCTGATAGGGCCATCGAGGCAACCATGATCTCTATACCGAACCTAAAAGCAGTATATATCAAGACAATACATCAAATAACTAACAAGCTTCAGCAAACAAACAAACTAGGTCATCATGTCCATAACATAGCTATACACCCCACACACTAGTCTGTAAGCCTCTAAGAGTAATAAAGATTGGCGTGACAGGCCCCAGCCTACCCATAAAAATATATATAACAAAATCTAACAAACCTCCCAACTCTGGCAGCTCCGGAGGAAAGGGGCAAGCCAATCGGATATAAGTCAATTCTGCTGTTGAGGAGGTCTACTGGGTCGTCTGTTGGGACCTGTAGGAATGAATGCAGTACCCCCAGGCAATGGGGCATCAGTATGAAATAATGTACCGAGTATGAAAGGCAATGGATTATGAGCACGTTTCCTAATATACTGGGATTAATCCGATGAATAAATCAAGGATGAGATAAGTGTACTGACCTGCTCCTAAATCTAAGCATATCAAAAATAATAAACAAAACAACCTAACCAATCCCCCATAAGCTCGACAGGTACAAACAACACACAAGACTACCTACACAGTCCCCCATAAGCCCATAAGGTGCCAATCAATCTATATACCCCTATTGGTAGTCCCCTAGCCCTATAGGCAGTCACATAGCCCTCTTAGGCAATAAAATAGCCACGTAGGCAGAACATAGCACTCTTAAGCATCAATATAGCTTATAGACAACATGTAATACCCCGAAAACTAGTAAGTTAAACTAGAGAGTTCTAGAGCCTTGTGTTAGGGTTTTATAGTTTGATATGAGGGTTTAAATTGGAAAAAAAAATGATTCCCATACTTAGAATGAGGATTTTAGGGTTCGGAGTCAAGGTACAACCCCCCCAAGGACCACCTAAGGGGTCCTTGAAGAGGACCCTAAAACATCCCGAAAAGCTGTCAAAAAATAGCCCTCCCACGAAGGGCATCTACAGACATTAGATGGACCCACGCCCCATGGGAAGGGGTCATGGGTCAGGACCCTTAGTTCCCCTGCATGTTCAGATCCAGTACCCCACTAAAGAAAGTGCAGCACTGTCCGTAGACCCACCCACGGTCCGTGGGTGGGGGTCTCGTGGGTGGAGGCATATTTTAGATTTTAGTTTTTAAGTTATGGGTTTGGGGTTTAATTAATAATTAGATAGGGGTTAAGTGAGATCGGTTAGTTAGTTATTAAACCACCTATATAATCCTAATATGCCCCTAAACTAAGTCAATAAAACCACTCTTCCAAGACCTCAAAATAAACTCTTTCCCTCCCAAATAATTCTCTCCTTAGAAGTAAGAAGGAGAAGAAGAAGAGAAGGAAGCTAGGGTAGATTTCTTCCATTGATGTAAGCTTGGTTAGGGCTTTGAATCAAGGTATGTTATCTTATTCATCTATGGGTTTTTCCACCCATAGATCCCCCCTAGATTTACCCTAATTGTGAAGACAAAACCCAATTCAAGCTAGGGTTTCTTTCTACATTGTGGGTAG